ATGACTTTTTAATCTCGCAATTCAGAGTTTACATTTTGCAATTATGAGATTTTTTTCCACACAATTCTGAGCTCATATTTCACAATTTCTTTTGAAAGTTTACTGTGTGTCTTGTAATTCTGACTTTATATCCTGAAAAAAAGTTAAACTCTGAGTAGAAGAACATATTTGGTAGAAATGACATTTGATTGGGATTTTTGTAAATGTTCTTTTTATTATTTTTTAGAAAGAAGAAAAACTTTTCTCCTGGATATTGATAGTGCTCATTGTTAAAGAATAGTGATAGAAATGCATGCCTCTGAAACACTACCAACATCAACAGACAGACACCACAAGGTGGCGCTATACATAAACACAGGCCTGCTGCAAATCCACTGAACTTCCAAATCTGAGTCACTTGACTTCAGATCAAGTAGCTATCCTTTAATCACACGCCAACACTGCTTTGAAATGAACTCACAAAGTGTTCTTTATATATTTATTGGCTGCGTTTTTGTTTTTGTGTCTTTCATACATTTGGTTGTGTTTTTCAAGCAGTATTAAATCTCCCCGAGGTTCAGAGGCAGATAGTGTCCTCATCAGAGTGATAGCGCTTGGGGAAATAACATCAGGCAGCAGGGGTCAATACCTTCAGCCCTGAGAGGAACTGTCTCACACACAGTGTCACTAGTATTATAATAACCATAGTAATATATATTTGATATTACATTATTACTATTATATATATATTTATTTTTTATTTTTTATTTAGGATAAAAGTGTCTGCTAAATGATTATATGACTTATTATTGCGTATTATTATTATCATTACTTATTATTTGTTATTTCTCATATCCGTATGGTAAATAAATAATTTATATGTATACCATACAAAAGTATGGCAAAGTTTGGAAGATTTTTAAGAAAGTAAAGTTGAAATTGAAGTTTTAAAATAATAGAAAATGAATTTAAATTGTGGTAATGTTTCACAATATGTGTGTGACTTTTCAAAATCACTCCAAACTTTTGTACAGTAGTATGTGTGTATAAATATAATGTATATATCATGAACTCATAGATATACACTCATTGTGAGGAAAAAACTGTCACTATTATCTTTTTTTTTTTTTGCTTTTTGTTTTGTTTTTTTAATCCTGTGGCAGAAACAAGCTTGCATAATTTAAATAAAAAAACAGTAGTTGTATATGCATTAATCAAGTTATAACAATGTAAAAAAGAATAGTTGAGCCAACTTAAAATAATGTGTTACCCCGCTGACTTAAAAGTTTTAGTTTAGTCAACTCAAATAAGTTTAGTCAACTTAAAATGTTAAGTTGTATTAAGTGACAACTTAAATATTTTAGTTGACTAAACTAAAAATTTAAGCCAGCGAGGTAACAAATGATGTTAAGTTGAAACAACAATTTTTTACAGTGAAATTAAAAAATTTGCATCTTTACAATAAATGCTAAATAGATAATAAACAAGACTGAGGCCCACTTCTCTATTTGTGACCCTGGACCACAAAACCAGTCATAAGGGTACATTTTTTTAAACTGAGATGTATACATCATCTGAAAGCTGGATAAATAAAATTTCCATTGATGTATAGTTTGTTAGGATAGGACAATATTTGGCTGAGATACAACTATTAGAAAATCTGGAATCTGAGAGTACAAAAAAAAATCTAAATATTGAGAAAATCGCCTTTAAAGTTGTCCAAATGAAGTTTTTAGCAATGCATAGTACTAAACAAAAATTAAGTTTTTATATATTTACAGTAGGAAATTTACAAAATATCTTCATGGAACATGATCTTTACTTAATATCCTAATGATTTTTGGCATAAAAGAAAAATCTATAATTTTGACCCAAACAATGTTTTTTTTGGCTACTGCTACAAATATACCCCAGCGACTTAAGACTGGTTTTGTGTTCCAGGGTCACATTTATATTCCCTCTTCTTTATTCCACCTGGAATGGACTCCAGATGTTGTTCGGGGAGATGGAGACACTGCTTGCTCGGTGATATGAGCTAGAAAAGAAAAGCAATGGGGGAATAGAAGAGAGTTCGCGAAAGTGAGCGCGAGAATGTTGGAAGGACATAAAAGTTTGTCTGGATGCCATTAAGTACAATTTGATGTAATGTGCAGTTTGGGATGTGACATTTTAAATGGAAACTGCGTACCAGATGAGGAGGGTTTGGGGGCCTTGGAGGTGGGGAGGGAACGTGCTCGAAACGTTATTTAAAGTGCAGGATAAACAGACCTCGGTTGGAGGCGCCGCGGTGAGCGTTTGCCCGTTTCCGGAAGCAATTGGAATCGCCTTTCCCGCAGGCCCTCATTCCGCAGCGCCGTATCGAGTACAGCAATAACAAACGTGGGTTTGCACGACTTTAGCCAGAACACAGTGCCCCTTTGTGCGAGCGGGCAGTGCTCACACGTCTGAACCTGTGGCACGGGACACGAACGTCAACCTCGATTGAAAACCTCTTTCCGTTTACTCCACAGTATTTTCAAAACGTGGCCTTGGCCTGCTTTTTAAGCCAGCGCTACGGTTTCCTATTTCTCCGCTTCTTGTATATCAAAAGGGGTCGGTTTTAAAATTAAAAGCTGCCGTTTTAAAATAAAACAACACTGGATTTTAGCTCTGCTGGAAGCAAAAGCTGACTTGCAGTACAGTATGAGTATCAAAGACCCGAGGAAATTAAGTCTTGCGTGTGTTGGGAATTTTACAGCATGACCCATAAACATCTCAGCGGTCCATATCTGGTTCCCTTTCCTCCTTTTCCCAAGCTCTTTTTGAACATTTATGCTGATGGGAGCATTGTTTCCTCTATAGCAAATGCCTGATAAGAAGATTTGAGTAGCAACTGAACAGACACACATTGTTTTTATAATAAAGACAAACAGCATTTGCAAGAATTTTGGGCCCTTCAAAATAAGCCTTAATCCTTCGGATTCGGTCTCTGTGGTTTTCTTTTGGTTCGTCTGAAGGTTAACCTCAGCCAGTCTGTGTATACTGCATGACACATGGCCATCATCCATACATTTTGTCTTAGTGGGATCCGAGCGTTGAAATATAATTGCCTGCCGCTCACTTTTTGGCTCAGTTTTGGAGTCCACAGTTTGTTAAACAACTGGAGCATTTAAACCTATTTTTATCAATTCATAGTCCAGCAGTAGAGTAAACAGTAATTAGTAAGGGAGGATATAGTTTTGAAAAAAAGCTGATAACTTTAACAACAACCATTCCAAATAGGGAGCGTTAGTTTGTGCGGTTCAGTATGCTATTACATGTTTATACTAACACGGTAATAGGCAATGTGTAAGGCTCTGCTATAGTGGTTTTCATTTCCTCAGCCGTGCATTTATGAAGTGTTGACACAGCTGTAAGTATAAGTCAAATACTGGTTTCATTGGAGAAATGCTTACAGTATGTGTAGATTTTGAAACCGTCCTACAGCTGCTTACTTAAATCAGCAAGTTCTGTTGTATTTGTTCTGTCAGAACCATGAGAAACAAACTAAGAGGCAACTGTATATATCTATCATTCTTGATGATCTGTTTCCTGGATGTATTACATTTCTCCTCTTTGGTTCTCAGACCCCATGCGCTCTGTACACATCACAGCCAAAGCCTCATTCAGGCTCCTATGGTCCAGTCGCACGCAAAGATCCAAGGAGGCACCGACAGCCGCAAGGACTGACCAGCTGGGTCATAGTGCCTGATATGTAGACAGCATTAATGACATGACTAATGCCAAGTCCAAACCGATATCTATTAGTAATATAAAGAGAGACAGAGAGAAAGAGTTTTTGTAGCTATTAAAGAAAAAAAAAACCAAATGCTGCCATTCCTGAGGGATTCTTACACTAGACATTCCTCACATGCTCGTCATATAATTAAAATCTTTTCAAAGATGCTCTAGTTTTACATTAGTTATCCATTTTCATCTGATCTACCCCATTAAAAGTACACCAGTCTTTTTGACTCGATGAATATTTTAATAATTGAAACGTTTTGCACTTTAATGAACCTTTCATGGATTTTAAACCAGCAATGCCAATTATGAACCTTTGTTTTTAAGAGTGTAGTTTAGATGTCTAATACACCTGCCATTATATATTACAAGTGTTGTTAGCAATTTGACAAATTGCTGTTGTTACTCTTTTGTAAGATGCTTTGGATCACCTATTGTCTATGAAATGCATAAATGTAAAAGTACATGTATATCTTTCTGAAAATGTATTCATTTATTTATTAGCCTACGCACTAAAGTAATTTTATTTTTATTATTATTTTTCACATTTTTATGTAGTTGAGGACTTTCTCTGGATAACAGATTGTTGGTCTTTTCCTATTTCTTTCCTTTAATTTATATTTCCTTTAATTTACATGCCGTTTTAAAAGTTTGTAAATGTTTTTACAAAAGTTTCTTATGCTCATCACGACTGCATTTATTTGATGAAAAATACAGAAAAAACAGTAACACTGTGAAATATTATTGCAATTTAAAATAAGCTTTTTTATTTTAATATAGGCTACTTTAAAATATTATTTATTCGAGTGATGCAAAGTTGAATTTTCATCAGCTATTACTTCAGTCTTCATGATCCATATATCTATATATATCAGTGGTGCTATTACTTATTTTTTTTTATTTGACTTGAGTGCATAAATAGCAAAAATACCAAAATAAATGATACTTTATTAATGTAAATAGTTGTTGTATGAATGTTTTCCGTAAATGCAAATACACTGTTCATTTTATTACTATGATTAATTAGAGTAGCATAATCTGGATACTGTAATGTAAAATGTTAGTGTTGCCATAAATAGACTGATATTGGTGGCATTAAATTGGCTGCGCTAGGACCGCGCGGCCCCGGGAGAGGAATGTGCGCACTGAGGCTGGAGCTGAATGTGAGTGTGACAGGATGGCAAAGGAAAAGCGCCAGAGTCCTGGAATTAAGATAGGGACCGTTATTCAAAGTCAGATTGCGACTGACACCACACGGACCCCGGAGCGCACCGGAGCCGCAGCGCGTCACGTTTGCTGATACGCGACTGGAACTTTTTGACAAGACAAATTGCATTCTTCTGTGAAATATTCCTGGAAAAAGTATGGAAAACAGCTGCTTTGAGGAATCGTAATTGCGGTGCGCTCAAAAGCACACGAGTAACAACTTCACTTCCCTTTAGAAAGGCGACAAAGTGACATTTCTGCGCGTCGCTCGTTTGCGCTCGTCACATGCGTAAAAGTTTTTTAAAGTGCTCCTTCGCTTTTATTTGGGACATGGAGGAAAGAAAATTCATGATGGAAATATGACATGATGGATATATTTTACTGCATCAGTGACAGGAGTCCTGTCATGTTTTAACAGAAGTGAGAGTGTTGCAGTCTAACGTGATCTATCCATTCATACTTGGAAAGGAGTAACAGTGTTTCTCAGCATTGAAACTTAAAAGTTATTATCATCCAGAAAAGCTTGTGCCCTGATGTCATGGGCTGACCTGGGACCGCGCAGCTGATAGTGTGCGGGACAATGTCGGGACCCTGCGTCCGCATCCCGTTTTGGGTTCGTGTGTTTCTCCTGCTGCTGCTTCACAGAGTCTCTGCGGGCTGTCCGGAGCTCCTTTCCAGCGGCTGCAGCTGCGCAGAGGACCGCGGTAAAGCTCACGCTGCGCCCGGGGCGCGGAGGAAAGTGAGCTGCGTTGGGAAGGAGCTGACTGAAACGCCCGAAGTCAGTTTGCTTCCCAACAGGACCGTCTCTCTGTGAGTATTTCATTCATTCACTCTCTTAAGCAACACTTTGTCAATGATACAGCATACGTATTTCATGAAAACAACAAATTGGCTGCTCAACTACAATGATAGCCTATTACCAAGTCAATATAATTGCATTAAGCTCATGTTTGTGTTACATTTGTGACCCAAATCTTCACACATGGTTTGTGCAGTAAATGAAACCTGAGTTTGTAGCGTGATCTGGGATGTATGTTGTTGTTTGGGAATATAAACCTATAACCAAAATTCTCCAAAACACTAGTTTCAAGTAATTGATTTCAAACACATCTTTGAATATGCAGGACTTTAGCAAATGAGATTGCGTGATTGACTGATAGCACAATGATTTACAGTGACATGACATTGATTAGGCAGTGTATGTCTAAATCAGCAATTGTGACAGCAACACAGGGCATAAAGATGTAAACTGGCGTTACAAGACTGATAAAGACAAAGTTCTGACCCTTTATGGTGACTACAAGATCTTAATGGACAGCAGCTTTGAGCAGCTGTCAAAATGTAGCTCTATATGGTGAGTCCAGGGACAACTGTAACAGTTTTTACATTTCTCTTCACAACTCACTGATTAATACAAATATATGTCCATTTTTTTATATAAGAAACATTTACAGTAAAATTAATATTCTTACAATAAGAAAGACTTTTATTCAGACATTTAGATTAGTATTCGTTGGTTGGGGACAGGTGTAGCCCTGATTAAAATTGAATATAATCTAAAAACAAATGATTAAACAACTGTACTGTCAAATAAGAGCACATCTAAGTGCAATAGAGTTGCTGTAATGCATTCATATTGCACTGATTCTTTAAAATGTCAATAATATTTGTTTAAAGCACAACTGAGTATTTTATTAAATAATTAAATTTTTAGTTCATTCATTTGATGTGTATTTCATAACTAGTTATACAGTTGGCCAAGCTCACAGCCATAATACAATATTTTATGGTAACTACTGTACCAAGAACAGAGCATGTTTTTATGCGCTGTTACAACTTTTGACCAACATCAGCAATTAAAGTAAAGACATAGGTTGAGTTTAAAAGCATTGGAACATTAGACATAGAAAGAAAAAAATGGCTTTGAATATCTCACAAAGAGGAGGATCACACACTACTTAGACACATTGTTTGCATGCTGTACTACCAGCTCATTGCTCCTTTACATGTATTTTCCGTCAGCAAAAGATGAGAGATGAGCTGAGAATTATGATCAGACTGAAGCACTGAAGAGGAGCTTGTTGCAGAACTCAATGCTGACGTATTGTCGAAGCCCTGTCATTTTACACATGCCTTTCATCCAAAAGCAAAGGAGATGTGCATCCCTCCCACCCCGTCCACACACACATGTACACACACACACATAGGTTTGTTTTTATGGTTTATGGGGACTCTCCATAGGTGTAATGGTTTTTATACTGTACAGACCGTATATTCTATTGCCCTACACCAACCCTACCCCTAAACCTACCCCTCACAGGAAACTTTCTGCATTTTTAGATTTTCAAAAAACCTAATTCTGAATTATTTATAAGCCTTTTGAATTACGGGGACACTGAAAATGTCCTCATAAATTACCATCTCGTTGTAATACGTAATATCCCAGTCTGTTTATAATGGACCATATTCGTGTTGTCTGTGCAGGAAGGAAGCTAAACCCACTCCAAAGTGTGGCTGTATCTAGTTATGACCTATTGTGTTATTACCTGTTAGTCTTGATGACTATTATAGTACTTGAGAGCAGGTCTGTGGGTGTTTGGGCGCCCGTACGAAATACTTGTTGGACAAAGTATGCACTTAATCCTGGTGTGAGACAAGGGAGATCAGTCTAGAGCTACGTGTATTTGTTTTGGTGAGAGGAGCGCTATTTTTCGTCTGTTTCTTGACATGGACGCCCGTGAAGCCGTCCAGCGTCTTTGGTAGTATCCGGCTGAAAATTGGTGTGGAAAAGCAAGAATTAAACACTCTCCGTCTCAGAGCTCCTGCCTTCCCGTGATGCCCTTCTGCTCCCCTTCCCAGCGGGAGCAGAATTCGCCTGCACATGGCTGTCGTAAAAACATAAACATTAAAAGCGCTCGAAAAGCCCAGGAGAGGACTAGGCAGCCAGAGGATTGGTTCCCTCGGAGGAGGAGGCCCAGGGTAGCCAGGACTCCATTTAAAGAGGCTAGTGGTTCTGCTTAATAACGCTCACATCTGCTCAACACATTGCCCCTACGAAACCAGAGGAAATGGACTGAAAAAAAGATAGGAAAGGGGCAAAAGTAGGCTGGGTGGCAGACGACGGAGGCAGTTGGAGACAAGCTCACATGAGACTTTGCACCTCTTAATATCGTTTATTTGTTTTCCGAACATGTGGAAAGCACACCGTGTGGCACTTTTATGAGGCTTTGTGTGTTAGAAGTAGAGTATTCATAGTCTACTGCCCCCTGAAGGGAAAATGAGCAACGGTTAATGAAAATGCTGCACTCAGCACTAGTTTAATTGGGTGTTTTTCAGGGTAGTCGATCCGACTGTTTCGCAGGATTGTCTTTTGCCTTTCTAGATGCAGAATGTTGCGTAAATGCTGTTGTTTTCGCGGACATTCCTTGGGGGTGTCCAAACAGCATCCCAGGTGAACTCTGGGATACATCATCTGTCTCTTTCCTGCTCATCTCTCCTGCTGCTCTCTAACTCACCAGGACAAAATGTGGAATGTTGGTATAAAATTGTTCTAGTAGAGGTGATCGGTGCCAAAGCCCTATGAGGAAATTCAGTTAACTCGGGAGCCATCTTGGCAACTTTATCTGCTTGAATGGGAATACCCCCAAAACTTCTTGTTAAGATTTCATATTTCAAATCAGAGATCAAATCTGACAGTAATGTTGTCATAAATTTAGCAAATCACACACAAAAAAAGATTGAAATTCCGAAACTGGTTGTTCTATTTCTACTCTGCCATGAACATTTTTCCTGTTGAGGACCCCGAGGCAATTCTATTGACTGATCTGTTAATGGGTATTTTATTCAGTGCCTAATTGCATGCATTTGCACTGATTTGTTGACTATATCAAAATTTTGGATGACCAGCTTACATTTTTTAAAATGTACTTCTTGTTAAGATTTCATATTTCAAATCAGAGATCAAATCTGACAGTAATGTTGTCATAAATTTAGCAAATCACACACAAAAAAAGATTGAAATTCCGAAACTGGTTGTTCTATTTCTACTCTGCCATGAACATTTTTCCTGTTGAGGACCCCGAGGCAATTCTATTGACTGATCTGTTAATGGGTAATTTATTCAGTGCCTAATTGCATGCATTTGCACTGATTTGTTGACTATATCAAAATTTTGGATGACCAGCTTACATTTTTTAAAATGTGACCCATATTCTGTATACACTTTGCGAAACAACTTAAAGTAGACCTACTTACCCGGAAAAGCATAGATCTGAGTTGATGTCATCTACCATCGTCACTTTTTCAGTGACAATCGACTTGCGTTGACGGGTGTATGTGAAAAGTCCACTTACATGGCAGAAGCAAATGCTCATATCCAATTCATATCAGATTTATTTCCACATACGAATGAGGCCTGAAACCAATCTGAGAACATCCCAAAGCTTAATGGTGCTGACGTTGAAGTCATGTGACTATGGTGTAGTTAGTTTGTAGCCTTCTTGTAGCTTTTTACTTCTGGTGCCTGTGTTAAGGGTTCAAAATTCATCAAAGTTTTGTTAATTTTTAAGACTGTCATGATGAACAAAACATGTAAGAGTCATAAACTTTTGTTGGTCACAGAGCTTATTTTCTGCAATAATCCAAAAGAAAAAAACCTTTTGGGATTCTGTTAAGGGAACCAGGGTATACCAACAAAAATATATCATCACTGCAGCACCGTATTAGAAATATGACAGAGTAATTTCATGTTGTACTGTATGTCATCTGAACAATGCCAATCAAGACGGACTTGATTAAATGGTTTGCCCGACTTGTTTGCGACACCAGCATATTAAGCATAAAGTTGTCTTTCACCTTATGCAGTCTCTGTCAGTACTGTGCCAGACAAAGAAAGGCAATTATGGATAGTGCAATCAGTGTTTTGGTAGTTTTTGAAGTCACACAACAGAATATTCAGTACTGTATATCATATGCATTTTTGTTTCAGAGTAATGTGACACTGAGAAACTCATTGTTACAATCGTTTTAGCTCTAACCATAAATAAGTGATCATGTGTTCTGTGATCTGACCAACTCTAGCTAAACAGACAGGCCTTAAGAGGTCAGAATGTGATTTCTGGGGTCAGTCATTTTAGTAAAGGTTATCTCTTGGACCAGCTGCAGGCCTGCAACACAACATCTGGCATTCCTCAGCTGATTAGGTTAGATAAGCAGATGGCATCCCTTAATCTGATTGGTGGAGATGGAAAATGTGGGGAGTGACCTCAATAATTACCCAAAATCGTATTCTCCTTCCTTATTGTTCATCCATTGAACGTATCCTGAATGATTCAGTGAATAGTGGCGGTGCAGATTACACACATAAGCCCAAATCCTGCTTTAGCGATATACACTATCATTTAAATGTTTGGGATCAGTAATACTTTTAATGTTTTTTAAAGAAGTGTTTTATGCTCATCCAGGCTGCATTTATTTGATCAAAAATAAATTTCAATCATGACAACTCTCTGAAGATTTTAGCATGGTGATGGATATGACAATGTTAATGTATTTGGTCTTGGTGGAACAGATCTGCTACGCTGCTGCTGAATTGCTGCTGCTGTTGGTTATTGCGGTAGTTGTAGATTATTGCTGCTGCTGCAAGCAAGTACAGAAACTTGCTACTGCCAATGCATATGGCGATACGGTGCCATGAGTATTTAAGACATAGCACAAATACACAAATAGCATATAAAATAACCCCGTAGCTAGGGCTGGACAATAATTCAATATCAATATGTATCGCGATTTTCAATAACTCAATAACGGGG